GACAGAGCAGCCTGAAGCTGGAAATCGCTTGCATCACGCGAAAACAGCATCGAATGCACGCCTAAACCATCTACAGGTAAAACATACTGCCTAAACAAGCGGCACTTGACTGCGGCGCGCTACAGTGCCCACCTGACCGGCACAAAAGCCGCTCCAACTTGCTCCAGCACAGTGAGATATATACGGGTTCTGTAGGATATCCGCCAGTTGTTGCGTCTTGGGCCCATCCGCCATGCTCGTCCCTAGCAGGGAAAAAGGCAGCCAAGCGCTATGGCAGGGGCGTGTATTTGCATACAGCTGGATGCTGCAGCACGCCCTTCCTCCACCGACCGCGAAAAACGGCCAATTCCACCCTAGGACCTGGCACATATAAGTGCAATCAATGTAATACCATGCCTTCGGCTGCGGAGCGACACTTGCCGTTTGGAGAATGCTGGAGGGCAATGACGGTTGGTAGTTCAAATGACTCAAGTCAAGGTGACCATTAAGAAAACCGGGGCAGCTATGCCACAGCTAATCGTTGGCTACCCATTTATGTTGCAACCGAAGATTACAATTCGTACCACAACCTCCCTGGCCCGGACGCCAACACTGTTCGCGTTATTTCCTTTTGGAATCAGGAGCAACACAATAGTTTGCCATACGTAACTTCTACGTAACAAAGTAGTTGAAGGCCGTATCTAACTTAAATGACGCCGGAAATCAACCACGCCCACCTAGCTCTGCTCTGACTGGATTAGCGTGGCCGACTCCAGTCGGCCATTATCAATGACAGGCGCTGACGCGGCGTGCGCTACCGTTCACGGCCGCGGCGGCAGGCGGCAGGCGGTCCTCATGCGTGGCGAGCCCCTCCCCCTCCCCCGAGATAGCCGTCGACACCTCTGCTGCCGGGGCGCCGCCCCCGCCGTCTCCCTCAGGGCCGCGGCGCCTCGCCGTCCCTCCACGCCAGGGGGTTCTCACACATCGAGAGCACCCCCGGGACAGCCGCCGGCCCGCCCCTGAGCCACCGGAGCTCCGCACTCGCCGCGCCGCCCGCTCACGGCCGCAGGGCGGGCGGGCGGCGGAGAAGCCGGGGCAGCGGTCGGCGTCCGCGCCCATCTGCGGACTCCCGCCGAAGCGTAATCACACACACATTCTTGACGGCAGCAGGGCCGCTTCAATTACGCAGCGGTCACAGCTGTGACCTTGACCGAGACCGCCGGCTCAAGGGACCTCGGGCATCGCCGGTCACCGTATAAAACAGCTCGGCCACGTCCAGCCGGCATCAGTGCATCCGCAGACCAGCTCCAGCAAACATGAAGGTACAGCAACACTTAGGGGGCTCATCGAGAGTAAAGTAGCACAAACTATCAATTAGACAGCTAACAGTGCAGCTTTCAGTGTGAAGTGAAACCATGTGTGAAGCAGGGCTGTTGCCGAGTGGCAGTTTTCTTTTTTTAACACTGTGTGCGGACATATAGGGTGGCAGTGCACAGATTACAATATCGCCTTGCAGCTCTTCATCGCAGCCGCTCTCGTTGTCGTTGCCGCCGCCGCCAGCACCTCCTACAGCCCGGCGCCGGCCTACCACCAGCAGAGCTACGCCACCCCTGCGCAGTACAGCTACGAGTACGACGTCCACGGCTACGGCGACGACGCTCCGCAGTACAACGTCCAGGAGGACCGTGATGGCTACAGCACCCAGGGCTCGTACTCCGTCGCCCTCCCCGACGGCCGCATCCAGACCGTGACCTACACCGTTAACGGAGATGAAGGCTACGTGGCAGAGGTCACTTATGAGGGCGAGGCCCAGTACCCCACGTACAACCCTCAGCCAGCCTATAAGGCTCAGCCCGTCTACAAGCCTACGTACAAGCCAGCTTATCAATAAGCGTGGGGTTTTGTCCAGTGTATTTATTGTATATTTATTGTGTAACGCCTCAAATAAACTTTTGAACGAGCAGCATACTCGCCTTTCACATTCTTAGGCAAAGACCAACGATCTTGCTTACTCAGCTAGTATGGTAGATAGAAATATTGGTCCACTGTGCATGTACTCAGGAAGCAACATGACATTGAAGCTCAGTAACATGCCATTGTTCGGACAAGCCGTCAATTTTTGTTGATAGTATGGGGTTGTGTCATCTTGTCAGAGCTATTAGCGTTCTTTCATTGCGAAACAATACACATTGTGGGTATTCCTACTTTGTCGTGGCCACACATCTACCTTTTATTTCAGGTCACCCCTATGACTTTAACAGTGACAAATGAAAGCCAAATGTTATCTGGGATAAATTCCTGATTTTATGACCTTTTAAACATAAATGGACGTCCCCTAGTTCTGAATTGCTTTTACGAGGTCTGTTTTGCTTGGTGTAAAGCAAACTCTCTCATCAGCGGGCAAGGATCCCCAAGTGCATCCGTGTCCATCCGCTCATGCTTCACCCTTCCGGAGACATAATAACCAACAGCGAGCTGTTTTCTTTACGACGCACTGTACAACCCAGCAATCACTACGCGCGTCTTGAAGGCGAACACAAAATAACCCGACCTAACACTCGTGAAGCGTATACGGGTTGAGTATTGAGCATGATACAAATAACATAAAAAACACCCAAACATGCACGGACGGGCAATTAAACGCACAACCAACTAACTACGAGTCACGGAATGGACAATGAGATAACCAGAGACACAAGAGTCGTCAGAAAAAATGGATCTTGACATCTTGTCAAAATCTCCCGCGCACTCCTTGAAAACTGCCATATGCCATATATACACCCAACTGCACCTATTCACCCCAAGTAACATCGACCTAATTTGGAGTGCAGTTTTGGGCCTGTTTCAATCATGACCTCACGAAACCACAACGCCCTGCAGGCCGCAGGAGCTATATCAACATGGCGACCAGCCGGCGCAGTGGCGCCGCCTACCGACGCCCGCGCCAACCGACTGCGGCAACAGAGCCAGCGCCGCGATCCAAACGGCGGCTGGGGCCATAGCAGCCGGCCAGAATTGACAGGCTGAAAAATGACCTGTCTTCGGGGAAGACTTACTCCCGGACTTGATGATCTGCACGGACCGAGCTGACCCCGCCGCCGAGGGGCCCTGGCAGCACACCAGAGGCCATCACGCGGCTGGATCACTGCTCTGCACACCACGCGGCGTGTCTCCCGTGAAGGTGTACGGATCGCTGCTATGCACACCACGCGGCATGTCTCCCCGTGAAGGTGTACGGATCGCTGCTATGCATACCACGCGGCGTGTCTCCCGTGAAGGTGTACGGATCGCTGCTATGCACACCACGCGGCGTGTCTACCGTGAAGGTGTACGGATCGCTGCTATGCACACCACGCGGCGTGTCTCCCGTGAAGGTGTACGGATCGCTGCTATGCATACCACGCGGCGTGTCTCCCGTGAAGGTGTACGGATCGCTGCTATGCACACCACGCGGCGTGTCTCCCGTGAAGGTGTACGGATCGCTGCTATGCATACCACGCGGCGTGTCTCCCGTGAAGGTGTACGGATCGCTGCTATGCATACCACGCGGCGTGTCTCCCGTGAAGGTGTACGGATCGCTGCTATGCACACCACGCGGCGTGTCTCCCCGTGAAGGTGTACGGATCGCTGCTATGCACACCATGCGGCGTGTCTCCCGTGAAGGTGTACGGATCGCTGCTATGCACACCACGCGGCGTGTCTCCCGTGAAGGTGTACGACATTCGCTCGTCTTGATAATTTGCTATCTCGTTTTGGTGTTGACTAACATACTTGTGCTCTTATTCCGTGACCCCCTGGGAATTGAAAAGAGTCCTCTCCATGTTTCTGGAACATTTTCGTGGTGGTCCGGCTAGGTCCACCAAATTTTGCAATGTCTGTCGGGCGATATTTTACATAACCCGAAAAAGAACAGTTGGAAGCCAGGCACGTCACGGAGCTGTGACGTCCCCAGCGTAGGTAATATAAGGCTAGTTCGTAGTTCGTAGCTTCCTTCCTTGTGTTTATTTTGTTATGCAAGCATGCAATATGCAGTATGCAATATGCAGTCTTCAATCAAGGTAATAACAGTCATTTAGTTTTGCGTGCCGAGCCAAAGTGATACGCGCGGTCCATTTGAGAGAAGTGGTCAAAACGAGCACACATTCCAAATCAGACATCTGACCGTCGTCATATATCAACATAGGACGCGACGCTTAGAGCAGCAACTTCACATTGAATGATCTTTCGTAGTCTTTACCCTGACCTTGACCGTTGGCTGACGTCCACATTATGGCAGTGTGCTAGGGCACCTCAAAGTGAGAACAATTCGAAAACTTGGAGACATTTCACAGTGCCTACGACAGAGATCGATCACAGCTTTCTGCGTGAGAATCAGTTGCCTATTACGTCAGCACGGGTGCTAATCTCTCGACAGGCGACAATTCGCGGCTTCCTCACTTAGAACTGCTCTAAGTTACGGTGCGTCAAATGGTTTGACTGTTTTTCCTTGCCGGCTGTCAGGCGGAGTCAACAGCAGCACACGAGCTGACACTGCTGATAACTTCGTCACCGGCAGCTCATTAAATCGGCGCCACTTAAACCACAGACTCGAATCATCCTCATCGACAAAAAGCCATTCATAAAACACCATGGGGATAATAAAGCTCTCGACAATGTTGCTCAATTGTAGCAGTTACTTAGTTCTAAAACTGCTGCTCGATTGACGCCTGTCACCATGAGCATGAGCCGATCGAACGTAGCGCAGCAGCAGCCTTGAGGTGCGCACTGAGCACCTTACGTATATCGTGTAATCCATCTCTCATGTTTGGGGAAGTTCGGAAAATTATAATACGAAGCTGTTCTCAGCAGAGCACCACAGCATGCTGTTCTGATTTCCAACAGACTACTTCAACTGGACATGAACACCCAGTAAAAGGCTGCCGCATCCTAAAGGGGGCAAAAGCGGGAGCGCCTCCGCCTGCTGAGTGACGTGGTTGACGGGCCAATCTTCGGATGATCATGAGAAAATCCTGAGCACTAACCTTACAGCACGCGTGCCACCAAGCACCGGCGCTCTGGGACGCCACACGTCACCGGCGTGGCTGGGACATACCTGAAGCAGACGGAGCGGAAAACATCAGTCACACAGATACTGATGACGACTGGCTTTAACGATCACCACTGCCAATAGCATCAGAATTTCAAAGACACGTCGAGGCTGACGATCAAGACTCATCAGAAGAAGAACCAAAATGCTATGCATTTTCCGTAAAAACCCTGGCGAGTGTGAGGTACAGTTTTCTAAAGTGAAGGAAAGGATTGAAAAAACAAAACCAAAACGAAGCGTTCACAATCCGAGAAGCACCACTCATTTATGCTACAAAACGTAACAAGCTAATGTGAAATAAATAAAAAGGATGGATGGGTTTGGCCGGCTGGGACAGTTTGGTTCCGCTAAGACCATTTTTCAAACGTCCATCGGTCTTCATCACGCGACTGCATACGATGACTTGTCTACAGACGGTGAGGTACAGGGTTCACGTCTGTCGCTACACATAACGTCCGGGTGGATTATGTGCAGGCCTTAGGTCTGCCACGGGTCATGTCTAGGTGGACTATGTACAGGGCTTACGTCTGCCACGGGTCATAATGTACGGGTGGATTATATACAGGCCTAACGTCTACCACTTCTCACACTGCTCAGGTGGACTGGGTACAAGCCTTACGTCTGTCACTGCGCATCGCGTCCGGGTGGACTAAGTACAGACCTAACGTCTGTCACTGCGCATAACGTCCGGGTGGATTAAGTACAGACCTCACGTCTGTCACCGCGCATAACGTCGGGTGCCAAGCACCGACACCTTCGTGATTGTCACAACCGACACATCTATCTGAAGAATGTAACGCCGAGTACAGCTGTGTTGCCAATTATTAAGACGGCAATAAGTGAAAGAGGTGTGATAAGCGCTAGCACAGGCCACAATGTCGTGGCCACCGTCGATAACTACCTGAGCCGGGCGTGCCACCGCCCCGCGGCTTCGCACGCTGGTCGCCGACAGCGCCACGCCCCGGGCTGTTTGAGCCGCCCCGGCCACCGCCCTGCGGCTTCGCACGCTGGTCGCCGACAGCGCCACGCCCCGGGCTGTTCTACCCACGACATATTCGCCCCACTGAACACCACACGCACGGGCAACGCTGCGGGTATATATGGCGGCGCCGACGTGACACCAGCATCAAACACTCACTTGAGATCCAGTCTAGCACCTGCCGACTCGTCAGCCATGAAGGTGAGCGCTGGCCCCCGACTACACCTTTGAGAACGAGTCTGGTGTGGTGTGAGCGCTGGTCTCTGACTACACCTTTGAGAACGTGTCTGGTGCGGTGTGAGCGCTGGTCTCTGACTACACCTTTGAGAACGTGTCTGGTGCGGCGTGAGCGCTGGTCTCTGACTACACCTTTGAGAACGTGTCTGGTGCGGCGTGAGCGCTGGCCTCTGACTACACCTTTGAGAACGTGTCTGGTGCGGTGTGAGCGCTGGTCTCTGACTACACCTTTGAGAACGTGTCTGGTGCGGTGTGAGCGCTGGTCTCTGACTACACCTTTGAGAACGTGTCTGGTGCGGCGTGAGCGCTGGTCTCTGACTACACCTTTGAGAACGTGTCTGGTGCGGCGTGAGCGCTGGCCTCTGACTACACCTTTGAGAACGTGTCTGGTGCGGTGTGAGCGCTGGTCTCTGACTACACCTTTGAGAACGTGTCTGGTGCGGTGTGAGCGCTGGTCTCTGACTACACCATTGAGAACGTATCTGGTGCGGCGTGAGCGCTGGTCTCTGGCTACACCTTTGAGAACGTGTCTGGTGCGGCGTGAGCGCTGGTCTCTGACTGCACCTTTGAGAACGTGTCTGGTGCGGTGTGAGCGCTGGTCTCTGACTACACCTTTGAGAACGTGGTCTCTGAATTGAAGTGTCTGGTTGCGGCTCGTGAGCGATCGGCCTCTATGACTAACACCTTTGAGAACGTGTATGGTGCGTGTGAGCGCTGTCTCTGGCTACCCTTTGAGAAACGTGTCTGGATGCGGGTGAGCGCTGGTATCGATACACCTTTGAGAACGTGTCTGGTGCGGTGTGAGCGCTGGTCTCTGACTACACCTTTGAGAATGTATCGGGTACGGCGTGAGCGCTGGTCTCTATCTATACCTTTGAGAACGTGTCTGGTACGGCGTGAGCGTTGATCTCCAACTGCACCTTTGAGAACGTGTCTGGTACAGTGACTGAGTAAAGCCGTTGTTTGTAGCGAGCTTGATGGAGTAAAGCGTTTTACGTTGCCTTCGTGAATAACTAGGAATGGAATGATCCAGGGCTATATGAGCTGGATCAACAAATGTCGGAGAGAGGATATGTTCTGGCTTCAATCACATGATTGAGTCACTTCAGGACGTCCTGTTAACTTGCACGCTCCCACCTCGGTACAGAAAGAGCCCCTGAAAGCGCGGCGACTGAGTGTCATGTGACCTGCTCGGGGTCATGGCTTTGTAATCCATCAGGTGGCCTGTAAGCTCCACACGCGGCTTGTGGTAGCGCAAGGTGCAAGAACCTCTACCAGAAGGAAAAAGGCGCACCAGAATTTTTTATGGAGTGATGTCTAGAGCAAAGGAAAATGCTAAGATACAATCAGCAAGTTTTCAATCCAAGCAGCATAGAGCATCGGACATTTGCTGTGAGGAGTCCCGCCAAGCCCGTATTGCCCCGCTATTGCTGTGAGGAGTTTCGGTTCAATGCACCGTGGCGCCAGGGGCATGAATACTGCGCCACCGTGTCGGCAGGTGGGAGTATGCCACCCCATCAGCATCGCGCAGTGTCCATGTTGAAGCAGACTCTTCAGAAATCCTGCGGCGCACGGCGGGCATCAAAACACGACACTACCACCCCCACAGCGGGCACCAGCATTTTCCACACAACTAAAAATAATATTTCAGTGGGTTTGAGCTCTTTATAAAGTGTACTTTTTGTTTTATACAGTTACACATGCGGAGGGAAAACCATTAGCGCGTAGCAAAGTGTAACCACAAATTGTTTCAGCTTGTTATTTTTTACCTCAGCTCCTGCTTGTCACCGTTCTGGCCGCTGCCGCTGTCGCCGACAACGCTCCTGGCTACCGGGCCCCGGCCCCGGCCTACCACCAGCAGAGCTACGACACCCCTGCCCAGTACAACTACAACTACGACGTCCACGGCTACGGCGACTACGCGCCCCAGTTCAACGCCCAGGAGAACCGCGACGGCTACAGCACCAAGGGCTCAGTACACGGTGGCCCTTCCCGACGGCCGTACTCAAACGGTGACCTACACCGTCGCCGACGCCTACTCCGGCTACGTGGCCGATGTACAGTACCAGGGCGAGGCGCAGTACCCCGCCTATCACCCCCAGCAGAGTTACCACGCGCAGCAGGCTCCGCACCCGCCCGCTCGGGGCTACAAGGCAGCCGCCTATTAAGTGTACAACGAAGGACGCTCCGTCCGGAGAGGAAGGCCCGCTCCTGTGACAATACACGTGCTGTCTGTGACTGCAGGCTTGTGAATGTCTCCCGCAATAGCTGAGGCACATCTGAACTATGAAACGCACCATATGCGCAGCTGAAGGTATTGGCAGCCAATGAGCATTTCTGAAAACGGGACGTGACGCGACCACCTCGACAAGCCGCAATATTGGCGGCGCACGCGGCACTGGCTTTAAACCCCGAGCACGTGCTAAGGAGATATATTCCTGCAAGTGACATCGCAGGAGTTTTACACACTGCCCATGGCTCCATTATTATGTTAAAACAAGCAAAAAGCCACCAACCTAAACGTAAGGCACACCTGAAAACACGGAAACCAGTGGTTAACAATCACGTGGCTTGTATAAATCAAGAGTTACCAAACGACGCGAGAAACTGTAAGATGCACCGAAATCGTCCAGCAAAGTATCACCGACACCACACGCTATTCGCTGCCGGTAATGATGAATTTTACACAAACATATCAAGACTCAAAGACGTTTGAAAAATGCTAGCTTCGTAACGATACTCCTTCCATTTGGGGAGTGGTATCTTGCAATCATAAGAAACGCAGTTCGGAAGAAAGCGAAGTTTTTAGGATGGTTAGCGTTGTAAGTGTGCATGTCTCTAGAAAGTGCGCCAAGACTACCTGCAGCACGCTCCATTAGACTTAAAAAACAACAACACAATTTAATCTTATGCCATGAAATCTTTAGGCTAAAAACCCTGGTCAAAGCCGTGGACCGCGCTGCTTCACACTCCGTGTAGTGACAACCGTACCCTTCCTGGCGGCAAACCAGTCAACTTGAACGACCCAGCCAACTCGTCGCAACACTTAACACGGAACTTCGGTGAAGTTGATAGCCATTTGGTTTTATGCCAAACATCAGGCCTAACTCGCCAGGCTTCGTTGTATTGAGCAGCTTATTTTTATCGGTATCGCTAATTCTCGTGTGAATTACTTGAAAAGTAATTTACGTTGAACAAATACCTTCGCCGCATGTGGATGTATCAAAGTGTAATCTTGTTGATGAGAGCTACTTTTATGGTGGTGAGCTTATAGTCCGATGGACTGTAGAACAAGTAGACCAATTCCATTGTCAACGAAGAATCTAAGCTATTAATGTAAAACTTGGGGCAACTGACAATGCAGTCCAACTGGACAGGTCTGATTCAGGCGCGTAAGTGCTTCAGTCGAACTTCGACCTAAAATGTGACATTCCACAACTCGCGGTGCTGACCCACCAAAATAGAACAGGTTCAAGGCTATCCAATGCAAGTAACACCACCACAACCCCGTGTGTAACCGGCCCTGAACCTACAAGCGACCTCTTGCTTCAAGGACTAATTTACAAGGGCTATTTCGAGGTGATTGCGTCCCATGCAGAAGCAAGGCGTTACGCAATACTTTCCAGCTGCAGGACCGCGTCTGCACATATATTTGCATGCAGACTTCACGGGCCCATCAGACAAAGATCAGCTAATCTGACCGCCACCTGACCGCCCTCGGCAGCAGCGCCCCGAGCACCGCCGCGAGCGAGCCGAGCGGCACGGGCCGGTGGCTGGGCGCCGGCCGTCGGCGGAGCGCAGCCGGCCACAGCTGCCCGCGCGCGCGCTGTCGTGTGTGGCCGACGCCGCCGCTGCCTGGGAGCAGACACCGCGTCCCGGCACGCCCCGCCACAGCACGAGCAGCGTCAGAACGGCGAGACGACAGACGAGGTGGCCCAGCCGGCAGCGCCTGCCAGCCGCCCAGGCAGTCGTCAGCAGTCCCCTCGCCCCAAATGGTCGCCGGCTGACCCGGCCGCCTGACCCACATCTGCACACGGTCGCCAGAGGTCGACCACGCCCCCTAGCCGGTGCCTGAGGTGACCCGGCAGCCCGGCGGCTGATGGACAGCGGCGACGCGTGAGGGGACGTCCACTGACGTCCACTGAGACGCTTCACTGCCGAGCCGGCTGATCGGGACACGCACGCCATGAAGGTCTGCCGCCGTTAAGCTGACACAGATCGCTGTCCCCGATCGGGGAGCGGCTGGCAATAAGACCGATTGGGATCAGTACCGAGCCCACCCTGAACACAGTCCGCCCTACGACGACCTCACGGCTCCAGACAGCTGTGAAACCTCCGTTTGTTCTTCACGACCAAGGACTCGACGTCTTTCAACCAGGCACATTTGCCGCACCACACCGTTTGCAAAATAACGAGCGGTTCCCTCCGGGCACATCCACGGAGACTCAGCCTTTTCATTTAACGTTTAACGGAAGTGGGAATTCGAAGAATACCGAACTGTTGACAACTTTCGGTTTAGTGGCACGATGATGCCGTCAGTGTAGTGGTAATCCTATTTGTCGCACACGCAGTCAGCCACAATGATTTGTGGACGGTAAATCCGTATAGCTAGCTGCGATGTCACGCTGAACGCGCTGATATGGCGCCCCAGCCGCACCTGCCTACAAGGCCAGTCCGCCTACAAGCGCGCCCCCGCCTATGACCCGCCGCTACCTGCAACTAAAGCCAGGACAGCGCTGCCGCTGCGAAGGTTTCTGCGGACTGCTGAGCTATGATTGAGAGTGCGCGTCATATTAAAAAGGCGTTGGACCAACTAGCAATCAAAAATGCCCCGAAACGGGCCGCCTATGCCGGGCAACTCGTGCCCAATCTGAGCACGCACGACGTGGTTTATGGTGGTGTGATTGTGTTTTCTCTCGTCAGCTGGGAGGGTGAGGACGGAATATTTATCTATGATGGTACAAACAAACCTATCTATGTATAGGCATGGTTGTACCGTCATACAGCTATCATATACTCACCATATCTGTATCATCATATGCCTATCATACCTATCCATACATGAAGAAAATCTTGCCTATCTATGGTGGTACGGTTGTCTTTTCTCTTGTCAGCTAGGAGGGTACGGACATCTCACATCGCCAGCTAGGAGGGCAGGACGGAGGCTTACCTACCGTCCGACCAATTCCATGCTGATTACCGTAATGCAACGTACATGTTCACATCCTGCTTTCCATCGATAGACAAAAATTGTGATGTGGGTGAGGATGGCTGACATAACCAATACTGTAATATTCACCAACTGATCTTTAACTTGCCAGTGTTGATGAGTTCAAAACATCGAAGCAACTTTTGATTGCATTCCACTTTGCAGTTCCCGGAAATCCAACTCCATTTATAAGATGGGTTAGAGTTGAAACACGTCCGCTGTCCCGGCGGGTCAGGACTGATTCATTTCTAAGATACACAATCTTGCCAGTTTACCTGTCGCTTGCTGCAATAGCATGACACAAACAGGCTTGTTTTGTTTCGTTGGCCTAAACAAATGTTTCAACTTTACACCCATCTCAATAAACCACACCAAATTATGTAAAGAAAGACGCCATGGAGCTGAGACTGCATGACTGTAGTGCTAACTCCAGGCTGCCCTCAAGCCATCTCAACAATAGACCATCGCGCACGAATGCATCTCAGGGACAATCAAGGTGGAGTACCTCAGTGGCGGATATCGGGACCCCGGCAGTGCACGAGATTCACCGATGAGGAACCACGTGACACACGCGAGGACCCCGTCGTGCGCCGTGCTGACGGTGATGACACGATGTAATGTCGTCCAATCAGAAAACCAGGTCTACACGAAGGAACCCATGTGATCGCATGTTTAACGGAAGTTCTATGTACCTATGATTCATGCAGGGATATTCCGATAACCTTTATCATGATGAGATAAGGCAGTGGGGGAAAATAAGCGATACAAATTCGACTTCTTCTTGCAGGGATAAAGTATCTAGGCCTTCGTATGCGGAACCTGGTGAAGGAGTTTTACTCGTGATCAATATAATTTTTACAAAGCACAAACCAGCGGCACGTGGCTTTGCATTTTAGTATGAGTCTGTCACACTAAACATGACTTAGCTCCACATCCAGAAGCCAACACGGTACACGGTCTTCTCTTCTCACACAAATAGGATTCTAAGGTCAGGATGGTTTCTGTTATAAAGCCCACGGTTGTTACACTGCTGGAGCGCCGAAGTACTCACGTCGAGCATGCAGCAGTCGGCACATGTGACTTGCCACCCAAAATAAATACTCTTATGGTATTCTACGACTCAGCAATGCGTTACGAACAGATTTAAAATGGAAAAAACTAAGCACCTAAACGTCTAAAAATATTCAAAAGGAAGGCATAATTTCTATTTTTCAATCAGGAAACTGAGCATACGTTTCAAGGCAAAGCATAGATTTTCAGTCTACGTCTTGTTTTATACGCCAGTACATGATTTGTACGCTTCGTGACTTTTATACCAATGATCTTCCTGCTTTAAGCTGTCTTATTCTATGGAAGACTGGCAGTTATGGGCATTGGCGATCCGTCAGCAAGACACATGGTCGGTCAAATGAACCTGAGAACAATCAAACAACTACATGAACGACACAAGACAAAAATCCCAATATCTTTTTCTTTTTGAAAACGTAACCGAAGTACATCCCGCAACTATTCATCCAACAGCGCAACTCTAGGCTGCATGTTCTTAAAATTTGGCAATCCGGGCACATTTGACACCTCAAAATAAGGTTGTGACGATGGTGAGAAACACATCTGCACGTGAGGCTTTATTGTGACGTTGCTTTGGAGGTGAGGAGTCCAGGGCACGAACATTGGCTACGCCCTGCAAAGCGTAGAAACGGATTGTATTGTCCGCAGGGATATCACTTTTTATAATCGGTTTGGGGTGGGCGGCTCAGCCGAGAAAGACTGACCCAGCCTACCCCTAAAATCTCATTTTCCCCGCATTTCGGAGACCTGTGGCTGCGTCCTTGATGGTCAAATATAAAAGAAACAATTTTGTTAATACATTTCTAAGATAGACTTAAAATTGCTTTACTTCGGAACAGCGGCTTCCTACTTTAAGTGAAGGTGAGCTGTCTTTTTGTGAAAAAGTTAAAATGAAATGAAATTCGCAAAAAAACATATCTTAGTCAATGCTAGTAAGGGATCACTGAAGACTGTCGCTGTCGCTGATCGCGTTGTACAACCACCACAGCCACGACTATGCGACAAATAAGTTGCAGGAGAAAATACATGTCAACTTTTATCTGGGCCAGCCTGCACTTTAAAAGCTGCTGCACATTGCACCCAGTTGCTCTTTATTCCCATCCAGGAGTTGTCTTTTGAAATGCTCGTCAAATATCTGCAGACCCGTTTAAGATATGACAGTCAACATGATAAAAACATTAGGCACTTACAGGAAACCATTTGGTAAAATTAACGTGATACTTATGGTGATGTGTTAAGGTACCTACTGCCTAGTGCACCAATAGTTAAAATAATTGTTCTGACTTATTTGGCACCATATTCCCTCTTTGCTCTTATGCATTGCGGGGGGAGGGGGGGGGGGACTCGATTCGGCATTATGGGGGAGAGCTCAGGCCCCCCTCAAAGTATATAAAGCGACGCCCTTGATCCTCTGCATCCACATTGGATGTAAAGCAGCTAAATGCCAAAGCCTTACATAATATATGTTGTTCAACATTTATCAAACTAATGCACGCTTTTTCGAAGACATCATATTGAGCATGCATGAGCGGCTCTTCGAAAATGGTTGGTGAAACAAAATCATGTACAGAGACTGGCCGGCGGCCATCTTAGTGGGCGATAATGACAAAGGAGAGTTTCAATATGTAGCATGTAATACAATGCATCTACAAGTGTAGACAATGTTTTTAACATCACGTAACGCTAAACTGCTGGGGATATTCCTGTTTCGAGTAGCTTCAAGCTTGCTGAGATAAAGTGAGAAAGGAATGATGAACAGAATGTCAGGATAGAAGTCAGTGGAGAGGATCCCCTGAGAGGAGAGGGGCGGCCTTTGGGAGCATAACTCAGCTGTGCAGCACGCACTGGGCCCATGTTCCACATATTGCGACGTGGAGTTTATTTGAGTGCATTTACCAGGGGAAACAGGTTTTTAAAGCTCAACAGCGATCTGTCCACAAATTCACACCTAACAACCTTTTTCAGCATTGTCCTGCTTTAAAAACACTCGCGTCAGTACTCGTCGACTGGTCGTCGAATGCCATCTTCGACTGACAATTTTGTATGGCAAGACCAGTAACATGTCAACGCACTCTCCAAACCACGGGCTAATCCCATGTATCTGCCTTTGACCTCAGACACTAGCAAGCCAGTGTCCTACATAGGAGGCGAGACGAGCTCTGCCCCCTCAACCCGCGCCAAAACCCGTGCCAAATGCTCGTGCCCGCGCCCGTGCCCCCGTCAAGCGGCTACGATAGGCTCCGCACCCACCTACGCAGAGGCTTGGCTGACTTGCACAACTCGCCCGTGGACAGTTGGGCAAGCTCGTCGTCTAGTCCCTAAATACAATCACTATTCACCGCGTTCCTTAGCTCACGCGTAAGCAGCGGCGTTAAGCAAGGGCTGGAAATCAGAGCACGTCGAACGCGAGTCGGGCTGGAGACGTAGACCAGCTCGCCGTGAGGTGACACCGGCACAAAGGGGACACGACACCGCTGAGCTCGACCAAACACGCACCGACGGCCGGCACTTGAGGCGCAACTGAGGCGGCACACAGCCGTCAGACTCGTCCATCCGTCAGGTCTCGCACTGGCGTCATGGACTCTCGAACCGCAGCGCGCCGTTCGTGTGGTTCGAACAGCACGCCGAAGAACACACGAGCCAGGTAGCGATGCGATCGAACAGCGCCACCGCGCTCGATGAATGGTGAAGCAGGACCGCTCTCGAACAGCACGCCGAAGAACACACGAGCCAGGTAGCGATGCGATCGAACCGCGCCACCGCGCTCGATGAATGGTGAAGCAGGACCGCTCCCGAACAGCACACCGAAGAACACACGAGCTAGGTAGCGATGCGATCGAACCGCGCCACCGCGCTCGATGAGTGGTGAAGCAGGACCACTGTCGTACAGCACACCGAAGAACACACGAGCTGGGTAGCGATGCGATCAAACCGCGCCACCGCGCTCGATGAATGGTGAAGCAGGACCGCTCTCATGTGCCAAACACATGACGGTCCGCGGCCCGAGTGCTGCTAGATGTACCACAACGTGATTGTTTTCCGACAACTGATCTGTGATTAGTATGCGCAATCCCAAATCGTGCCCTAAATTGGCACACGATCGTGCCTAAGTGGTTGTGTTCGCTTCCCTAACATTTCCAAATCTTAATTCTTCGATTCAAAGTAATGCTAGGGACCGAAAAAGCTGTTTCTCATCTCATCAATCAACGCGGCTTCTGTAACACACCACAAACGGCACGCGTATTAGCAATGGGTGCTAGTTTCCAGCTGCACACCGATGGACGTGTTTTCCAGGGCCCGACATATATGACGCATTGCTGCGGTGGCCCGGCCGCACAGCCTGTGGGCACAGCGGGCCCCTGCGGCCGCGCAGCGCAGAGGCCAGGCAGAGGCTACCGCCTGATGATCACACAACGGAGTCTCTTCCATGTTCAGCAATTATCCGAACATGTCAGCGCCGAAATCCGTCACCATCACGTCCCATTCTCGGAGCTCACGGTCGGCCATGACGTCGCCCAGAACGTGACATTGCGACAAAGCCCTCCACCGATGTTCAGTGAACCCACAGATAGCAATAACCGCAGTAGTTACCTCACGGCGGCATATTCGCGCCGTGTTTACGGTTGGCCGCCGGGTGCGACGCAGTCACGCACGAAAAGACGCGCTCTCTCCCTGTCTGGTGTCCGGGGCGCCACGCCTGCCTCCCCTCACCCGCCCCCGCACTGCAACACGGGAGCGCTCATGCGAACCGTACGGGCTGCGTGAGATAAAAGGCACCACCACTCACCAGCTAGCATCAGTTGATCGCACAGATCCGACCCGAAACAACATGAAGGTAAGTGGTGCAAAATGCACGGACACTGCTTAACAGGGGCAGCTCTTTCCAAATGTTTGGAGGGCTCCACCCCACGTGTCTGGATTTTAATATGGTGCATCTGAGTGCTGTAAAAACGCATTTATGTGGAATGTCGATGTATTACATTCATTTAAAATGTTTCAACCGTCGCTTCTTAAAGTCGATGGTACTGAACGCACCTGCTTTACGTATCTTATGATCCGTGTAATGTATTGTGGGAAACATCGGCTGGCTTCCACACCCCCGCCCCCACTACCTATTCCATGTCCAACACACACCGCTACACTAGCCAGCAGCCAACAGGTCGAATTTGTTTACAGATAAAGTCAAGTCTGTGATGGTAACGTACCACCCAATGGGCTTCCCGACTTCGAGGATATTGACCGTATTTTCCTCAAATTACTTCACGAAAAGAATCCCAAACTAAATATGATGTTAACATGGCTATGTAGAATTCGCACGACACTATATCCATGGCATACGCGGTATTCTTATCCACGTGCACATAAGTGACGCGAGACCAGTGGGCCACTTTCCAGTGTTCATGCAGCAACATAGATGTCAGGGTTGGAAAGCTTGAATAAGGCCAGTATAAATGACTACATAAGCAACTTGAGAGCTACGTTCGTCCACCGATAAGACCACCTACTGAAGCAGTAAGCGGGATCACTCCCCCGTTAGCATGGCCAGGCGAACCACTAAACCCAGCTGTCAATTTTCAGGTGCTTGTCATCTCCGCCCTCCTGGCCGTTGCCGCCGCCGACAGCGGCCCCAGCTACCAGGCTCCGGCGGCGGGCTACAAGGGGCCGGCCCCGGCCTACCACCAGCCCAGCTACGACACGCCGCCCAAATACAACTACAACTACGACGTCCACGGCTACGGGGACTACGCGCCCCAGTTCAACGCCCAGGAGAACCGCGACGGCTACAAAACCCAGGGCTCGTACACGGTGGCGCTCCCGGACGGCCGCACCCAGACGGTCACGTACCGGGTGGACGACGCCTACTCCGGCTTCGTAGCCGACGTCAAGTACCAGGGCGAGGCGAAGTACCCGGCCTACCAGCCGCAGCCGGCCTACCAACCCGCTCCGGCCTACAAGCCGGCCGGCGGCAAGTACGGAGGCGGCGGCGGCGGCGGCGGCAAGTACGGAAGCGGCGGCGGCGGCAAGTACTGAGGCCGCGGCAGCGCCAAGTGCTGAGGCCGCGGCGGCGCCAAGTGCTGATAACGCGGCGGGGAGATGGAGGACGCTCGCCCCGGATCGCCGGACGTGTCCAGGCCTTGTGTTAGAGTGCCATGTATTTACGCCGCAGTTGTTTCCGAAACAAATAAAACGATCAGATCGCTATATACATGCAATGCGCCGCAGTCGCATAACGGGAGTGCGTTGGTTGGTATAGAAGAAAAATGCACCGCAGTAAGGCTGTATAAGAACGACAGTTTAACCAGCTTAGAAGCGAGAGTATGCCAGATGATGAAGGCAGAAATATTCATAGATAGTAGTCATGCAGTCGAAACTTGTCTTGGGCGAATATTTCGCATCATTTGTTGACCCTACATTTGACATAACATGACGTGCTTAGCCGAATTTCCGTAACAAAAGCTGGCAAAGATGTTTTTCGAAGTGTCGGGGAGCGATGACATCGACAAACACCAGAAAAACAGGCACTCACTACAAGCACAATGAACAAATAACTGATCATGTTCCAAATAAAATGAACCGTACTGATACGAGTGTGAAATGCTTAAAATACTATGCAGTAAATTTCTTAAAATTAGTTTACATATCAGTCAGTATTTGGAGTACTTTCAGCATGTAAACAATTTTGGCATCAATGTGCATTATAAGAAGCAAAGGCAGCGCTCCGCACACCTGCTGACTCAAAAGAACCCTTCAATCAAATGAACGCCTGACAGCATCCAAACAATTGGCTTCCCTCGTTAATTTCGCCGATGTCACGCAATACGACCTAATCTGTGGCGAATGGCGCTGCGTTCTTCTCTCGGATGCGTGGTGTGCCTGTATCGTAATATTCTGGCATCATCCTCATGTATCACCTGAATGCAAACTTCAAATAATCAGTGTTTCCGCCTCGAAGTAATGCTTGCTATTACATTCTCTCACACCCGGCTTCCAAAATCCACAAAAGTTCTCAGACGTGCCGATCTAGGGCATATCAAGATCCACCACTCAGTGCATCACGGACTTGAAACTGCATGTGCATATACACGTATGACTGTTCGAGCTAGCCACCCACTACCCTGAGCTTCTATCTCAGACTGTTCAAAAACCGCCCGTCGGTGCTGCCTCGTAACAGCTGTTTTCGCACTGCTCATGCGAAGCGTCGGCTGACACGTGGTAAAGGTCGTTATTATGGGGACTTAAAGACGCACTCAGCTGCTGCGGGTATGTGTTGGCGTCAGTTGCCTCTCACCCTGGCAGGAAGGGCGTGCACGCGGAGAAAAGAACCCATACTTCTGGTTAACGCAAACGCGTTACCACTTCACCAGCGGCACCCGCGCGGTAAAGGTCGGCATGATCTGTGCGTTCTGCGAGGGGCGAGTGAAGGAGCGATGGCTGACACGAGGTCAGCCCTCATCCAGCTGCCGGTTCACTCGAGCACCCTGACCCCACCGTCGTGATGAACACGGACGCCTTCAGCGGGCTCCGGCTGCTGAAGCGCGACGCTGGCTTCCTCATGATCCGACTCACCCTCATGTGTAATGAGGGAACAATGTCAAGCCGTCCTCCCCCAGTGACCCCAGGTTTGGAAGGAAACCAATGGCCATGACGTTTGTGGCGGATGGGCCGCGAATGGGGCAGCAGAGTGATGCGCTGCAGATGAGGCATCGTTTCCCTCGGAACACTAAAGATAGCTTTGATGGCCGTGCTTTCAGTTCTCATTTACCTAAAAAGGCAAAGCTACGGGTCACTGACGTGCATACATCCCACGTGTAGACATAACGTGTAGACAAAGAAAAAACCCCAGCCGCTGCCTGGATGGTTTTGCCATGACAAGAGCACACAGGCAGGAGGAGGCATGCCTGTCGAGCCTCCGAAGCTTCTCAACAGCGTCCTTGAAGGCGGCACGAGCCAGCCCAGCCGACCACTTCCATGAGCGCCGTGGAAAAGGCGTTCGATTAATGCATTATTTGACCAGCTGAGCTTACGACGAAGGCGACCTCAAGGCTCTGCTGCAGACGGTCGAGCACTGCCGCTCAACCAGCCCATCTTTACGAGAATAGTATTTTGGAAAATGATTACAAACATAACTCAGCATATCTTGCTCGTCTTACTTGCGTAGCTTTGTTGCTCATGACATAACGAACTAATCAGTAAAACACATTTACCGCAGCTAATATATAGGTCATGACCTCAAAACTCCAATCACGTATTTCCTCACTGTGATCGAGACATAAAATAAATTTTAAAATAAATTAATGTTAAATAATAACAAGCGCCGTCAACCCAAAAACATGAACATCGCCCTGAGCACCTCTGGAAGTCATCATGGCATGGCCATACTGCCCGCATAAAGGATGCATGTGGGACAGAAGGTGCACTAACCAGCTCAGCTGGTCACGGTCCCGTCCGCTCACTGGTCCACGACTGACCCGGGGGTCTGACCCACATTAGCTATAGCGTCCCACTGCCCAACAATGGCGGACCACACCCCTGCTGCATGTGCTGTCCCCCGTCACGAAGGCGGCACTGCAGCGCGGCACCGCATAAAACCGGAGCGGTGGCCACCTGTCAGCATCAGTTGATCCCATCCACCCGACCCAACAACATGAAGGTGAGAGCTCACAAGGTACTCGCCAAAAGGGTTTGCGCCCTCAAGATCATGCCTTACGTTCCGTTTTGAAGAACGCTTGCTGGGCAAAACGTTTCAGGACATTTCAAAATGTTTTACGAAATAATGCGCGCATATACATACCTCAAGTGGCATCATCCAGTTTCAATCTAGAGCAGATTGACTGCGCCAAACTTTTTCCACAAATACTGGCTCCGACAAACTTCTTAACCTACACTTGGCTTTACTGAGCAGCTTGTGCAGGTGTTTCAAACATTCGAAAACAAGCATACTGTATTCTAACGTAATAACATACAATAGTACACAAAACGACAATGTTGCGTCAATATCCACCATCTCGACAACAACATGTGTAAAGACAGAAACACAAAACCACTGTAGAGCATAATAATGCAAAATGTATCAAAGGGGCTAATAAGTATTGCCAGTACATCATCATATAGTCCTGGATAATGAATAAAATTAGCCCTGACATATTCCGTATGTTCCCAGCTGTTCCTGGTCGCCGCTGTTCTGGCCGTTGCTGCCGCCGACAACGCCCCCAGCTACGGACGCCCGGCTTACCACCCGCCCACCTACGCCCCGGCCCCGGCCTACCACAAGCCCAGCTACGCCCCGGCCCACCAGCAGAGCTACGACCAGCCGCCAGTGTACGACTTCAGCTACGACGTCCACGGCTACGGAGACTACGAGCCTCAGTTCAACGCCCAGGAGGGCCGTGATGGCTACAGCACCCAGGGCTCTTACTCTGTTGTCCTTCCCGACGGCCGTACCCAGAAGGTGACCTACACCGTTGCCGATGCCTACTCCGGCTACGTCGCTGATGTCACATACGAGGGTGAGGCCCGCTACGACCAGGCCTACTCCCGCCCCGCTTACCACCCGCAGCCCAGCTACAAGCCCGCCTACAAGCCGGCTCCGTCTTACAGCTAAATAACCACTTTCTCAATGGATAACATAGCGCGTCAAATGCCGCATTGTTGATGTAAATACTCAAAGTCGAGCGGACGAAGGAAGCTCCGCCGAGCTTTTTATGTGTGAGTGTCGCCGATGAAAATATATTGCAAACATACCACTGCGTCGAAACTGCACACCTGCAGAGAGTGGTCACCACTATTCGCCGGTCAGCCAGGGCATAGCACGTAACCACTGATACGTGAGGTCACGGTGATCATGGTAATGTTTTACCGATAGCTACAAGTGAATACATTGCGCGTTACGGATATGAAATCGAAAACAGAAGTGAAAGGGACTACGCCACGAACAATCCACGAAGGGTGCTTGCATCTGTACTTACTTATGTTAAACAAAAGGGCGATACTTAGCTTGAATCTGACATATGACCACACAGTTCGACGCCAGATTGCCTCCTGGTAAAGATGAGCCCCGGATGACCGACAAATGCTGGGTGGTTCGAAAGGACAATTGTTGTGTGTTAAGTACCAATTTCTTGCTTTCTGAACTTGCATTTTATTCGCCTCCTTCTGCTATCGGAAATGCCAGTGCATTTGATTGGCAGCGCTTTGTAAATCATAGTTCAGATTCAACGCGTTAAAAAGTTAAAACTTTTGGTAACAACTTACGAAAAGTAAAGCACATCGCAAAAAGTTATAAGCAAGTAAAGAACACTGTAAAAGGCCTCAGCAAAAAGGAGAGACTTTTTTAAAAAGTCATCAGACACACAGAACGCATTCCAAGATAACTACAGCCTGCAAATTAAGCAGCGCAACCTGAACGAGCATACGGCTGGTATGACGGTCCGGCCAGCGTTGTCCGCTTAAGGCTGAGCCACCAGCTCCCATGCCTCAGAGACGCCAGCTCAGGTGACAGCCGTTTACACAGCGGGGAGCGCCCCCTCGATCTCTGGCCCACCTGGCCTCGGCTCCCGGCCAGGACTTCGATCTCTGGCCCACCTGGCCTCGGCTCCCGGCCAGGACCGGGATGGGGAGCCAGTCTGCCGCTTCTCACACCAGACACTGCTGCTCTGCGCAGTGGTGAAGCTCGCAGGAAGCGTGCGTGCCTTCCCCAGACGACAGGCCTCGCAGGCTTACTTGACAACTTATCAGGCTGGAGCCAACAATGCGGCACAATGCGGCATAGTATAGCTCCTGTAAAAACGCATGAGACCATCTGAGCTATAATGAACAGGACCTTTGCGTGTGTTGCTGGTGACCTGATTCCCGTACTGACGCCATCCACATACTTTCATCGAAGTTGTTCACTTGCAGCACAGTCGTTTGAGGGTCAAAATCGCAAATGGCTGACTGTATGGTGCCTCGGATGCTAAGGATGCTAAGTTCCGTGGCTGCTGGGATGGTACCGCAGGGCCCAACGCCTTTCCGCCGTCAGAAGAGGAAGCTTACTATGGTTGGCACGATGGACGCTAATAGGTCCAGTACGTTTTTGAGTAATTTTCTACTGGCCCACGTGGCCACAAGCTTTGGAAACGCAAGTTTTGATACGGTTTAAAAAATTTAGTCCGAACCTTTCGATTTCATATATTTCTGAGATAAGCTCCCACGCTATGCAGAGCTTGTTGCGTGAGTCCCGACCTCACCGTGCGACCGTAAAATGGCAGGTCAACGGCAGAACTTTGCGGAGAAAGGTCGGCGTGCCGTAATGCTCGGCACGGTCCGTCCTGCACTCTGACGTCACCCGACACGGTCCGTCCTGCACTCCGACGTCACCCGACCTTGCCGGCGTGCCGCAATGCTCGGCACGGTCCGTCCTACACTGCGACGTCACCCGACCTTGCCGGCGTGCCGCAATGCTCGGCACGGTCCGTCCTGCACTCCGACGTCACCCGACCTTGCCGGCGTGCCGCAATGCTCGGCACGGTCCGTCCTATACTGCGACGCCACCCGACCTTTAGCCCAGCCGCTGCCGCTGGCTGCAGATAATCCCGGTCAAAGGCAAACAACGAGTATCTAAAGCGCCCCCCCCCCCCCCGCTTCTCGTCACAGGTGGATAGATCGGCAGGCAGGCGCCCTAACCAGCTGGGTTCGCAGTTGGAAAAAGTCGAAGCCCATATATAAGATTTCAACAGAGCCCCCGGGTTGCCTAGTGCTTCTGTCAAAAGGTCGCATAAGGAGAAGAGGCAATGAAGCAATATGATGCATGGTTTCAGAACTGGCGGAAATCAAGCAACGGGGTTATGCATGCAGGATGCATGTGGTGGAGAAACGTTCAAATCTGTTGGAGACGAATGAGACGGGGGGGGGGGGGGGAGGGGGAGGGGAATGGGCACAACGTCGTCAAATAATGTTGGTGGCATACATTTTGGAATCGATGCCACGAATAAGAGCTCCCAGATAGGTTTAAAGACAAACTCGTTAACCAGCCGAGCAGGCAGCTCACGTAAAGAGGCGAAACTGCAGCGGATGATGTTAAACTAGGCATGATTAATCCCGTGGTGCCGCTCCCTGGCGTCGAACGCTCCTGATACCACTGTGCTGCGCCGAGCGGCGTCAGCGGCGGCGGTGGTCGCATATATGCAGTTCAGTGTATATTTGTGTGTGCATGTGAGTGTTTGCGATAAATGCTTTGCTGAGAGTGTCAGTAAAGTACGGAAAACTAAACGTGGAAAATTTAACGGATGATGGGTGGGGGTCCAGCCTGCCTGAAGACACGTAGGAAATTTATTACGCGGCTTCTTGGACCTTTGATCTTGTGTGGGGATCTTGTGATGCTGATCTTTTTCTCGAATATAAGTAAAGACATCAGAAATACTGATATACATTATGTCGCATGCATTGATAGCTCAGCTCACTGGACGGTTTGATGAAACCACGCACAAATTGTTGCTAACGATAAAATACCGAAGACCACACTATTTTTCGTGTTTTTTTATGACAGGTCCCGATTTGGCCGGCTTGAACGCTTAAGTGCCGTCTGCAAGGTTAACATGCAATTTAAACGAAGAAGAATACCTGCTAACGCCTCAATACCACACAGCTGCGTGCCGTGCCCTTCGCAATACTCTTGATTTTTATTTAGAGCTTCCGATCACCAAGCCGTCAATTCGTCGTCGCCTTACGTTGGAAACAGGCGTCCCATTGCGGACGAAAGAAAAACAGCCAAACGGCCGATGGGCATACACATTTTGTCTCACTCATGAGGTCTACCGCGTCGCTGGTAACGCGCTACATCACAGCTTTCTGTATCATATGGACCGCAAAAATATAGTATTACAAGTCTGACGGCCGAATCAGTACAGTTTTACCCGTGTATCCATATGTCCGCAACTAACTTGCAATGATCCTGCGTTGCGCCGAAACCACTCTGCTACTCCGAATGCGAACCTCTGGACCTACAATTAAACTCATGTAACCGCTGCACAATTCAACTCATGTAACCGCTGCACAATTCAACCCATGCAACCGCTACACAATTCAACTCTTGTAACCGCTGCACAATTCTGCCCATGCAACCGCTGCACATCGGGGAGTGGGGGTGCTTGGCCGACGCTCAGATGCTGTCTCTGTAATACGCATTCATCAGAAGATGGATTTATTTAGTCTTATAGGACAATCAAGCTACCTTCGCGTTCCCAGTTGTGATTCAAGAACACCAATGCGCAGTCCAATCAACTACACCTTCATAGACTTATCAATCATAATTAGCACCGGAGTAAGCCACACTGCCAGCCGCAGCCAGTGATCACCACTGGCCCCAGCAGGTCACGGTCCCGTCCGCTCACTGGTCCACGACTGACCCGGGGGTCTGACCCACATTAGCTATAGCGTCCCACTGCCCAACTATGGCGGACCACACCCCTGCTGCATGTGCTGTCCCCCGTCACGAAGGCGGCACTGCAGCGCGGCACCGTATAAAACCGGAGCCGTGGCCACCTGTCAGCATCAGTTGATCCCATCCACCCGACCCAACAACATGAAGGTGAGAGCGCACAAGGTGCTCGCCAAAAGGGTTTGCGCCGTCAAGACCATGCCTTACGTTCCGTTTTGATCACGTACAACGGTACACAAAACGGCAACCTTACGCTCATATGTACAATGTCGACGATAACATGTGTCGAGATAGAGAAACGCAAGACCGCTGTAGAGCACAATAATGCAACACCTGATGTCAATTCATACACACACACATGCAATATGCAGCACACTAGTGCTAATTAGTATTACCAGGTGCATCGTCCGAAGTCCTGGATAAGGAATACAATTAAGGCTGACATATTCGGTATGTTTCCAGTTCTTCCTAATCGCCGCTGTTCTGGCCGTTGCCGCCGCCGACAACGCCCCCAGCTACGGGCGCCCGGCTTACCACCCGCCCCGCTACGCCCCGGCCCCGGCCTACCACAAGCCCAGCTACGCCCCGGCCCACCAGCAGAGCTACGACCAGCCGCCAGTGTACGACTTCAACTACGACGTCCACGGCTACGGAGACTACGAGCCTCAGTTCAACGCCCAGGAGGACCGCTGATGGCTACAGCACCCAGGGCTCTTACTCTGTTGTCCTTCCCGACGGCCGTACCCAGAAGGTGACCTACACCGTTGCCGATGCCTACTCCGGCTACGTCGCTGACGTCACATACGAGGGTGAGGCCCGTTACGATCAGGCCTACGCCCGTCCCTCTTACCACCCGCAGCCCAGCTACAAGCCCGCCTACAAGCCGGCTGCGTCCTACAGCTAGAAACAGGATCCGAAAAACCGTGCATAACAATAGCTGGCGAAGGTCAACTGGATGCGAGGGTGAATGTACTTGCTGCATGTATTTATTGAATGGTTGTTGAATAAATTGCGCAAAGTTCTATACCATGCATGGCCCGAAACATACGTTGCCTTGTCATAATCTCCGCTAGGTAGAATAAAAAACCCGAACGTTCACGTCATTGATGCAAAACAGCTAACATCTTTTATAGCCACAAGCGATGGTTCGTTAAACTAGTTGGCAAGTCAACACCTCAAATCATGGAATTTATCTGAGCATTGCTGCAAAGAACATTGCCTATGGAAAATGGATGGCTTGAGCTTGTAGGCATTGGTATTGCAGGTACAGTATTGCAGACAGCAACCATTTATATTCGGTGCTCAAGAGATGTTGAACCATTTCAGTGCATTTTAATCTCGCGGAAGTGCAGTTCAAAACGCAAGCCTTATCAATTTCAAGGTAGATTTCCGTTTATTTGCTATGAGTGCGTCCAAAAACGCCGTTAACCACCTAGGCTGCTGTTCTGCTGCATTCGCACTGCGTTGCAGCTATTTGGGGACCAATGGTTAGGTGGCTTGGTTTGGCATGACCTTATGACGGCGCAGCAGACAGCGTATGTGCACCAGACTCGGGTGCAGTAAACACAGCATGTGCATACCTCATGTGCGAAAAAATCAGCGTGGTAAATCAGGCCGTTTGCATCTAGCGGGACTCCGCATGCTGATGAGAACCGAAAAATACATACATACGCAAGGATACTTTTTGCTATTAGATATATACATACAAGGCTCAGGTAAATTAATAAAAAAGATGCCGACCTAGACATTCTACTGCATCCTTTAGAGAGCGACCATTGGCCCACATTCTGTATCTGTATTTGACGGTGGGAACGTGGGGCAGATACAACCAATCCTGTGGGTCACTACCTCCCTTGAGCTTTTTTCCTTCACAACTTTTCAAGGCATGTACTAGAAGAGACGCAACTTTTCAGCTCGCCAATCCCCCCAACACCTGACCCGGAAGAGCCCACAGGTTTTTGATCAGATTGTGGGCCTTGCTGCACCGGCTTTTGAGGGTCACCAATTCTAATAAACAAAAAATGCATTTTGCTGTTCCTGAAGTTTCAAATCGATCCAAAAAACCACAGCGTGATGTCAAAACAAAGCAATTATGAAATATCACATTCCCACTTTTTCAAAAAGAACACCAGCGACAAACACCCATGGCAGACATGGCATACCAGTGCACCAGATTGCACAAATTGAACAGCTTTATACAAATATCTCACTAAAAAAGCTCAATAACTACCCGAATTTTCTAAAAAAATCTGACGAAACGCAAAAACCTGATTCCGTTGTACATCAGTTCGGAAGACCTACAACATAAATACATTCACACACTGCACTTGGTTGTCATTGTAATGTTGTGCTGCACTCAAAGTTTCTTGTCTTATACACAAACCACTTCTTTCAACCAGTATCAATCATAAATGAAACGAAAAGGAAACTGTGAGCTTTTCATCGCCCCAGCCTCAGGCACGTGTCAGTGCAGCCCGCAATTGCTGATGTATTACATGCGCAACAGTCGTTGAAACTAAAGTAGCTGTGGTCTGGACGTTGCATATTCATGCCTGAAGACGATACAATATACCACCACAGCAGGGGTCTTTATGCATGATACAGGTCACTCCTAAAGGGAGACTCTCGTGTTTGTATGGGACATTAAAATGCAGTAGCCACCTAAAAGATTATTCAGTGCAGTTCACAGCCTTGCTCCTCTGAGGACCTAAAACACTATTTCCGAGCTATATGGCCGATCATTTGCGCAGACTATTTCAGCGTGGACCATTTCAAGGACACCCAAGTAAGTATGACGCCATTGAAATGTTGTTATCCCATTGGCCATGCAGCGTTCAAGGTCAGGACAAATATAATCGCCGGGTTATTCATTTCCAGCGCACATGAGCACGGTTCCCAGATGAAACGGGTTGCATTCGGCTCTCAACTAATGTTACGCACTTAGTGCAAATTTTAAACGTTTTTTGTCTGTTTGTCTGTTTTGCAGGATGTATCTCATGATGCAACGCCCCTCTCTTCTTATATCTGTACCTGTGCGCATTCTGTGTCAACAATTCCAAATTGAGGTATGACTCCAATAAATTATTAGAAAAAACGAAAATAACAGTCATCAGGCTATTCAAAATGCAGAAAACGATCCCACACAAATTTCAATGCCTTCTTTTGCGTTAGAAAGTTGTCTGCAGCATTCTAAAATATCTGACGTTTTTAGTGGCGTTAAATAATGTCAAAGATGCCGCTTGAGTGGCAAATGTTCATGGACAAAATGTTACTGCTATCCTTGCTTATAGCGAGGCGATGGTTGCGACGTGAGCGCGGATGGTAATGCGTGGGATATCCGGACAACTTCAAAACTACCATGCAGTGTTTATAACGCCCTGTTGCATGGTATATCCACTTAAGCACAGCAAAAGGCATAAAAGAGCCTGCGCCTGTTTCTTGAACGCGGCTTATTGCATAGCCGCGATTATGACGCACTGGACTGGTGTTTGTGCTTATGCACAATGTAATGAGGTGTGGACACGTCCTAAGACCTTGAAACATCCATCATTTATTACTCTGCCAGTGCAAAGTGATCGGATCATGCATTTAGTATTACAAGAAATGGCCGCTGGGCCACTGGGATGAGGTAGGACATCGAAATCTCTGGTACATTTTGGCGATGAGCCATCTTAAATTCCCCTTCCTTTTTTCTCATGCATGGTTGGAAGCTGCCATCACAGCGCTTAAGACCTAATTTGATAAATACGAATTTTATAGACCGATTACTTTTACCACTGTTTCTAAGCAACATCAGTGATCCTAGCCAAACAATGCTTTGCATGAGATGACCCTGACATGCCATTTTTTGCATGTGTATGTACACGGTTAAAATGAAGAAGACATGACAGAGCGCACATCACAATTATAACGTATATGCAGGTTGATGCCGGCTCAACATAGTAGAAAACGGTCTTTCACGGGGTGGATACCTAGGCTATGGGCAATGGGCATAGGATACCTATGGCCGGGGCAGGCCCGGCTGTGGGCTAATAATTTGCAACAAGTTGTGGTTCTAGCACGCACATTTAGGACCGCATAAGACATATCTGGTGATACTTTCCTAGAAACTTAACTTGCGCAGCGGAAGTAAAATGTAAAATTTCAAATGTCACGCTCAGTTAAAAATCTAAAACGGAGTTACCGCAAATTTCGACGTGGTATATTGCTAACATTAATACTTGTACGGAATAAGGAAACACACAATAGGTTGTCAGATCACTAATTCCAAAGTTTTTTTACATCTTGAAACCAAAATACCCTGCATGAACGTCAGAATTTCAGTGACCTTTGGCCGTGAGTTCAGACGTCGCACAGGGTAACATCTTCATATGTTCATTGCTTCATGAGATCTAAATGCATACAAATTTGGAAACAATTCTGAGGGACCGGGTAGAAAACGTGACCACTGTGCCATGGAATGTCGCCACCGTTACGTACTACTTTTCTCGCCATAACTTTGTCTACGCCCGGCAAAATGACAGATATGCAGGCCTAAGACAGCAATAAAGCTAGCAGTAAAAAAAACAACAAAGCATGAAGCCCTTTTGTTTCTTGTTTACTAGGGTTTTCGGGCGCGCCGACTGCAGTGCTCATCTGGCGCCCAATGAAAGCCCGTTCCAAGAATTGCAAGAATTTTGTGTGTTGACCAGCCGAGCAAAGGACCATGGTGAAGACGTGAGACAAACTACCTACCCAAGATAATTACCAGACACAATCGCCATTTGAAGTACGAGCACACAGCCGACAGTGGCGGGTGTCTATAACTCCGCGTGTCGCACGGTGACCACAGGTCGCTCTGACCCATATCGTGCGTCCCCGGTCTCCGGAGCTTAGGTCACATGCCACACCTATCCCTCACACTCTCTCTTGTACACGATGACCAAGGGCCGGGCCCACCGCAGCCAGCCGCGGTATAAAAGGTCAGACACCACCACGGCTGGTATCACTTGGTCCCACACCACCTACCGCACAACATGAAGGCAAGTGTTCGGCACGTGGCGCAGGGGGCAAGCCGTAAGGTTTCCATGGTATAGATGAAACGAAAGCCATTGCCTTTCACGGGTGTTCATTGGAAGGGACAAAGGAAGTGTTATCCATCATACGCTAGAGGAAAACACGTCCTTTGCAGGGACGCTGTTGTCTGTAATACTCCTGCGCATTATATCCGCCAGTACGCCGTAAGGGGCAGCAGTAGTTCTGAAGGACAGCGTCCGTACAGTTGACTTTATGTCCTGTCTGCAGACGTGCTCGGGAAAGCATCACCTCCAGCACCCAGCATTTAGTACATGATGGTGTGTATTTCATCGATAAAGCCAACGCACATAGGTAATAGTTAACTATGCATGTGTAAAGACAGTAAGCGCTATGAAACATGCGGCATGTTTTCAGTTCTTCTTGGTCGCCGCTGTTCTGGCTCTTGCCGCCGCCGACAACACCCCCAGCTACGGGGCCCCGGTCCACCATCAGACCAGCTACGCCCCGGCCCCGGCTCACCGCCAGGCCAGCTACGCCCCGGCCCACCAGCAGAGCTACGACCAGCCGCCAGTGTATGACTTCAACTATGACGTCCACGGCTATGGAGACTACGAGCCGCAGTTCAACGCCCAGGAGGGCCGTGATGGCTACAGCACCCAGGGCTCTTACTCTGTTGTCCTTCCCGACGGCCGTACCCAGAAGGTGACCTACACCGTGGCCGATGCCTACTCCGGCTACGTCGCTGACGTCACGTACGAGGGTGAGGCCCGTTACGACCAGGCCTACGCCCGCCCCTCTTACCACCCGCAGCCCAGCTACAAGCCCGCCCACAAGCCGGCTGCTTCCCACTATTAGAAAGCAAGCTCCAACCATGAAGACAGGATAACTGTCGTATGGGTGTGAAGATAAACTAGCCGTATGTATTTATAGGATGGCTGTTATCGAATAAATCCCGCAATGTTCTATGACATTTTTACACGGAAAACACATGTTGTAAAGACCATTATCTGCCCTGGTTAAAATGAATAACACTAAAAGCTCACACGATTGATGCAGAGAATCTCAAGAGATCCAACTTCAGTATAAGTCTAAGTGCTGCTGCAACGCATCTTACAAGCTGAAAACGTGTAGTTTAAAGCCAACCGTCCCTTTATACCTTTAAAAATAGTTCACATAGCATGCATTTAAGCTTGATGCTTAATGCGTATTTAACTTTCAGTGCCTGCCGACCTTCCGAGTGAAGTTTTCTGAAACATATTTGGGTTTCAAGTTCCAGATCGAGTAACTATTTGGGGACTTATTGTTTAGTTCCATTAATTGACAATATACATGGCTTTGGTACACGTATCCCTTCATTAACAGATCATACAAACGTGGTTTTGTTCGATTTACGAGATATCCCGGGATAAGTGATGCCATTCGGAGACTGACAATTTAGGACACCAAAAACCGAAGGGGACCCATTAGGTTGGCAGTCAGTCGTTGGTGAAATTTTCCGTTAGTTTTGAACAAGCCGATTTTGAATATTGGATGAAAGTGTATTAAAGTATGTTTAAATTTTACAAATAAGTGAGCAACAGGTAAATGTTCAACTACTTCCAGGTGGTCTTTTGACTCAAGTATATGTTTAACACACGGCTGATGGGTCATGGCATCGGATAAAATAAAGCAACATGGTGGCACATGGTCAAAACTTAAAGTGAAAGCTGGGCAGCCGTAATGTGAATAAAAACAATCCCAGCGTTGTATGCGGCACCACTGATGGAAAAGACAATGAATAGCAGATAGGTGATACGAAGTATTCTACAAAAAATCAATAAAATACAAAGTTACATGATGGTTACAAGTTGCATGAAATGCAGCCATGATAGGCGGGTGCACGAAACGGCTTCCCACAGGTAGCTCGCGAGGCGCTGACGCTGACGTCCGGATCTGGACGTGGCACGTGCCAGAATGGCCGTTTTGAGCACAATCAGTTTTGCACGAGCAGCCTGAGCATGTGACGCACGATAAAGCAAACGAGCGACCGTTCGAAACCGTGGCCACATCTCGGTAACCAGGGGTCGGAGCGACAACAAACTGTCACGTCCCTATGGGCGATCGAACGGGAAATCGGGTCGTGTCACGTGTGCATTTGCACGTCCCGTGCCAAGTGCAACGTGCCACGCACACGAGCGGTCAAGATAGATTTGTCGGTTCCTGGTTTTCTGTTGACAATATGTGCCACAACACGGCAGCCAGAGCGGGTGGGGACACCAGTCCAATTTCAAATTGTCGACCAACGTACCGGCTGCGTATCATGAGCCCAATACGGGTTTGCGCGACGCAGGGCTGCGCCAGCAATCGTCGGAGAAGCGGAGAATGTCAGCATTTCCAAAAACTGTGCTGACAACACGCTGGCGTCGGAAATGCAGCCAGGTTTGTGCCGAAATGTACATCACAGCATACACTGATTCATTTCTTGCATTTAACACCGATTTCGTCCTCATTCTGTGCACGATCCCGCTCAAACATCAACTTTACCTGTAGAGTTACAATTTTCATTCTCGCACAACCAACATGCCACTGGTTGATCGTTCAGTCATCGCCGCCGAGCATTTTGAGTGGAACGACCAAACGCGCACGCGGTCGGAAATGCATAGTCGGCTTTAGTGGCTTCATTCGTTGCAGCGATAACGGTGGGTCAGAGTGACCATCAAATGCATTACTCGATTGCATTCTTTGAGACTTGTCAGAAACCATAAATATTCAGTGGAGAATAATTTGCAACTGGTGGATAAAATTGCTCACAAAACGCAGTCATTTTTCAGCGAAGCCGACTGCTACGGCAAAACAATATTCACACTGGTCTCGCGGGTGCATTCACAATGGTCCCGACCAACCACCTCCCAGGTCACACGGGGATAAAGAGAAAGTGGGGGCGGGGGGGGGGGGGGAGCGAGCGGTTACACAAAGGATTGCCCTCTGACTGTACGCGATTCACGGTATGGCCAAGTCCGATTCAACGGGTGACGCAGTGGCTACACGCGCTCCAAACCGTTTCCGCCACCACACGCCGTCGCCATTTCGAGGGGGAGTACACAAAACCAGCGACGGCAGTCCATGACTCAAGTGTCGCACGGTGACCACAGGTCACGGCGACCCATCTCTTGCGGTCCTGGTCTCCCGAGCTGAGGTCACACGCCGCACCTGCCCCTCCACTACCCTAGATATCATGCACACAGGCTAGAAAACCAGCTAGCCGTCTGTCACAGCATAAAAGGCGGGGCACCACCACGGCTGTTGTCAGTTGATCCCACGCACCCTGCTGCACGACATGAAGGCAAGTGTTCGGGATGTGAGACAGTGCACATGCCAGGCATGCTCTGGATACACCTCAAGTTAACGCCACACTTATTCGCCCCGGCCCCGTAAGTTTTGTTTTGTTTTGTTGTTCGCGTGTTCGCCGAAGTGAAGGAAAAACACTGCCTTTGCCAGATGACAGTTGGCTGTAATGCTCTTGTGCATCATTTCTCGCAGTGAGCTGCATGCGGCAACAGTAGGTCTGAAGGACAGGGAAGATATACATTACTTGATGCGCCCTCTATTCATGTCCTCAGGCAGCAATCGCCCGAAACATTCAGGACATGGTGCATTGCCGTGTGTCCGTTCTTTCGATAGAATCATCGCATAAACACACAGGGTAACCGCACTTGCGTATCAGCACTATGACACGTGCAACATGTTTCCAGCTCTTCCTGGTTGCTGCTGTTCTGGCCGTTGCCGCCGCCGACAACGCCCCCAGCTACAGCGCCCCAGTCCACCATCAGACCAGCTACGCCGCCGCCCCGGCCCCGGCCCACCACAAGTCCAGCTACCAGCCGCCAGCGGCCCACCAGCAGAGCTACGACCAGCCGGCCAAGTACGACTTCAACTACGACGTTCACGGCTACGGACACTACGAGCCCCAGTTCAATGCCCAGGAGGGCCGCGATGGCTACAACACCCAGGGCTCTTACTCTGTTTTCCTTCCCGACGGTCGTACCCAGAAGGTGACCTACACCGTTGCCGACGCCTACTCCGGCTACGTCGCTGACGTCACGTACGATGGTGAGGCCCGCTACGACCAGGCTTACGCCCGCCCCTCTTACCACCCGCAGCCCAGCTATAAGCCCGCCTACAAGCCGGCCAAGTCCTACTAGAAAACGAGCACCAGACAGAGCTGCTAAGTCATAGCTGGTGAATGTTGACTGCTATTTACTGATGGAGTGCTTGTTGCCGAATAGATCGCACACGTTCTGCCTTTTTTGCGCCGAAAACGCAACTAAAACTGACGATCATCTCCACTTGATGCAATCAATCATTTCAAACACTCGCGTGGCTGATGCAACCATTTCGGACCACCTTAGAATCGTCAACAAACGACCTCGTGGCAGCGTAACAAACGACGTTTCAGCAGCATGGTCAGGCGAAGTAAAGTCCTATACTTGCCTGGGAAACATTAGGGATGCAAATCGAGCCGTTTGCACGCAGGGGCTGGTCCAAAAATGTAGGTGTCCGAACATTAGCATGCACGGGTATCCACAAATGTATGAGTGATTTCGTACGAAGAATCTTTTATCTTAACGATACTGCTGAGCCGAAATCCCGGAACCTCGAATGATGCATCAAAAAGCTCGTTATGCGGAAACTGTGGGCGTTTTGTATCAAACATGCATATACATGGATACAGATATATGTAAAAATATGCACATATATATATATATATATATATATATATATATATGCATACATATATGTATATATGTATACCTTAAACATATATGCACATTCGTATTCGGTGCGACACATCTTTTACGTAGAAACGATGGATTCAAAGCTCAAGTCAATGTCATAAACATGCAATAAACGGCATTTCATTAGCGTCGCAGCTTCCACTTCCTAACGCTATTTTTGTCGTTTTTTTTAGGTAGTGCGATGCATACAAGGTGAAATACTCACTAGCATTGGCGCTTGCAAGACGGTGCCAAACTGTAAAATTTCAAATTGCTTTCTTCCACGGATCAACTGTGGTCACTGAAAATTTTCCCATAGAAAATTGAGGGAAGTTGCTATATCGGTAGCGAACCATGTCTGGATTTATTATTTGGATTCACTAAATCCACTTATTCGACTTTTAACCAACTCAAACATGTGTAGGCTTCGGAGGTTGTGACCTCTGGATATGGCACCAGAGGTTACCCAGGGATAAATGTTTACAAATATTTATGTGCTCATGGAATCTATTTGCAAGCTAATTTGGAAGAAAAATATCAGGGGGCTAGGCTCATACGTCCTTTTTGTGATCCGCGTAGCATAGATGCCCCCCCATACCTAAATCCCTAATATACGACAAAAAATACGTTTGTCTGTCACACGTATCTGCAGATAGCTTTTTGCTCGATGCACAGCAGACAGCTGCGTGGATTGCCGTGAATTTTCGCACACGGCAGGTTCAACCGGTCAGACCATTCACGCCAGCAACATTGCGTGTGGATGTGTCCGAGTGATCCATGAGTGTTGATCACCCACACATGTTAACTCAGGGTCGCAGCCCAGGGGAAAGGGGTCGCGGGGGACATGGCCCTCGTGAGCCATAATGTTTACGTTAGATACAGAGCAATTTCGCCAGAAATCACTCCAAATTCATAACGCTTCGGCGTCAACTTGATATTTGCCCCACCGGGAGGAGAATTGTGGTTACGCACCTGCGTCAACCAAAATCCACTTCATCTTGTTGAAACCCATGCTACGTCATTGGTAGCTGAGCTACCCAGGTCAGTAGCAGCGCCTTCTCGCGCGGCGCCACGGGCATGAACCTCTCATTACTGACTAACTGCCAGGCCACAGCTCATGGCTACGACCGCTTCAGCGACCAATATCAGGCATAGCGCAACAGTTAGCTATTGTGTTTTAAGTGTGCGTCAACTGAAGTGGTCATTGGCGCCCCCATAAGTCAACAGGAAGACATTCGGCCAATGAAAAGACGGCACGGGCAAGCCTCATTGCGAGAATTTCAAGAACTTGTGTGCTGACCAGCCGGCCACACAGGAGTGTGGGTGTCAAGCGTCTATTTCATAACAAAACCTCTATTTACGGTGATTGACCAAACCACACCAAAAATGAAAGATTTTGTGCAGCCAACTACTTCGTCCTGGTGAAGAAGTTGACAGCAAAAGGTCGCGGTTTCGTGTACACTGAAGTCCGTTAAGCAACAGCCGACCACGAGAGGGCGGATCCCGATTGCGACGGGCAATACCATGCAAAGGACGGACCATGACAGAAGCAAACCATGCAAGGGACCGACCATGAGAGAGGCGGAACACAATCGAGGCGGGCCATGAAAAATGCAGACCACAGAAGGGGCGGACCATGAGAGGGACGAACTATGGGAGGGACGAACCATGAGAGGGACGGATCACGAGATAGGGGCGGACCACAGCCATGGCTCCGTGAAACGTCACACCGAACCTGACCATCAAATGTACTGAAAGTCAATCCCAACAGTAAGAGCATTCCCATTCTTTCTGGAGTGTTTCGATAGCCGGTGACTGAATTCGAGATGTGCGTGAATATCTGGAACGCACGCCACATTAAAATACCCACAAACATGGCTCCTAAAGTAGCAAGGTCCCGCACAGGTCTGCACACGTCCCGTTCAGGTACTTCATTAGCATTTCGCGTGTTAAGTTCTCGCGCCAAACGGTCGCGCTACTGATGTGCCCCAAAAACACTTAACACGCGCCAGGGTGGCAGGTTGGATACCACTCGCTCGGGTGGTGGATCAATTTGACCCCGCTGAGATCTCCGGAACTAAGAGAGCTAGAAACACCACATTTACAGGAGGTAATGTACGTGTAATGGTAATGCCTGTACGTGAACTCACTTAGGTTAAAGTTTGAGGTTTCTTCGTCATAACCTTCGGGTCAAATAGGGTCAAACTCCAAATTGGTCTTCAAAGTGCCCCCAAAACGTATACACCTGTTCTAAAGAAAGGGAAGGGACGCATGCTCATTGAAGGTCGCTGACCTTGTCTGACTTTTGAGGATCATGGTGACCAAAACCACACAAGACCGCTTTGATCAAACAGTCCTGATAGTCTTATTCCTCGGAGAAAAACCAGGAGAATGGACATATAGTTGGGTTGATATTTCGACAACATGTCTTTATCGAGACAATAGCAGAAATGCAGATTTCTGCTCTTTTTTCGAAAAAGGCATGTTGCCGAAATGTCAACCCACCTATTTGGCCATTCTCCTGGTTTTCTCCGACGAATAAGGCTATTACTACTGCCTTATCTATGTGAATAATGTTCCTCGCTAATGCACTGAACAACTTAAGTAAGACTGCTTTGAGTTTTCTATTTGAGTGAGCGACAAGGATTTCACTCGGCAGTGTGTTCCCAAAACAAAACGTTGACCCGGGTCATTTTCGGTCAGTGACCTACTGTGCCCCACAAGAAGTCCACCGAAGATGCACAATGTGGTTCCTGTAATCAACCAATTTGAAATGAGCATCAGCAACCACACCGTACAGCAAACCCTAGAGTAATAACACAGGTTGGTATTGGCCTTGGTCTGAGCTTCATACTTGGCCCTTGGTCAATTAAATTTGTTCGCCCAATTATTTGTTGCTTAGTTAGGTATCTCAGAAATGTATGGCTTCGTCTAACGCTCGGTTTTTGCATTAGAATGAACGATTCCCTACAAATTGACTTTGCTGAATCCACGGCCTGACTTTGACCTGCCGCAGGCCAGCAATCTTACAAAGTACGTCTAATTTTTTATACCAAACGATCCGCTATACATTTGTGTATAACTATGCAAAATTTGGCGCAGCTACGCCCCGCCGTTCGGAAACCATTCTGGAAAAAACCTTCATGGGTCAATTTGACCCACAACCGAGTGCGTGTTAACCGAAATCATCACTGCATACTACCGCCATCTCAAGGCGGGGTACACAAAGCCAGTAGCAACTGTCCACAACTCCAGTATCGCACGGCGACCACAGGTCACTCTAACCCATATCGCACGTGCCCGGCCTCTGGAGCTGAGGTCAGGTGACCACACCCGTCTGACCCCTCCCTCCTCCCTCCTGCACGTGATGCCCACGGGCCGTGAAAGCCGGTCAGCCGCCAGCCGCCAGCCGCAGTATAAAAGATGAGACACCACTGCGTGTGGTATCAGTTGATTCCACGCAACCTAATGCACAACATGAAGGCAAGTGTTCGGGAGATGAAGCAGTGTACAGTCACAGACCAGAGTTTTAAGGATGTATCTGAAGTAATCACCACTTTGCTGATGATACTACTTCGATTGAATTCAACAGAAAATCATTCTATTTTTTCAGCCTGTATTTGCCTGTATTTGCACATTGCCTACATTGCTCAACTACATTACGTCCCATAACCTGCCGTAAAGAACCGCAGTAAATATGAAGCACAGCGACGAGACAACATGTCTCATGCACCGCCAATAGGTAATGCCAACAAACATGCTACATCCATATATTAGGCCAGATCGCTAGAGACACGACCTTTGGTGTATTAACGTGCGTCTGTTCCACTGAAGTCGATGCACAAGTATAGCTTAGGCATGTGTAAAAGCGGCCAGCGCCATGACACACTGGGTATGTTCCCAGTTGTTCCTGGTCGCCGCTGTTCTGGCCGTTGCCGCCGCCGACAACGCCCCCAGCTACGGGCGCCCGGCTTACCACCCGCCCCGCTACGCCCCG